CCTTTATAAATTATCTAGTCTGTGGCACTCTGTTATGGCAACATAAAACATACTAAGATAAGGACTAAAAAACATGGAGAGACAGATTTCCCCCACCACACATGCACCTGCCACCTGGGCTCATAGGGAACACTGGGTGCTCTGCCAAGTTCAGGAGCACTGGATTGAACTAGGTTGATGGTAGTGAGCACAGGAAGAGACCTATGGGGACCATCAGAGGTATAATACGAGGCTGGATTCTTGCAAAGGGGCCTTGCTTTATGGGATAAGACCTTCTTTTCCACCCATCTGAAACCTTTGTCAACACCTGGCCTACTGGTATCAGACTCTGGGACATAAGTCTCAGCTCTGGTTTTTGTTTTGTTTTTTTTTAATTATTCTTGATATCTTTTCTCTAGGAGCTAAGCTTGAAAATCACCCTTCTGAAGTACCTATTACCCTTTCCAGCCAAGATAATGGCATAGGACACTCATAAATTAACTATCTTATTGAAAGGTTAGAACAGGAGCCTGAGCCCATGCCCCAGGGATAGCATTTCAGCCTCCTCCAATTTCCAGTTACGTATTTTGCTCACATCTCTTGATCCAGTCGACTTGGTGGAAGGAGGGGCTAGGTCGAAAAGAAACAACACCCAAGTACTAACTGTCCTGAGCACAGCGCTGTGCGCTTTACCTGCATTCTCTTTTTTGACTCTTCAAAATTGTGCTCTGTGATCGATGCTACTGTCCCCGTTTGAGAGGAGAAAGCTGAGGACTAGAGTTTGGCCATTGGTCCAAGTACATACAGAGGCAGAGCCCAGCAAGAGTGGGGGAAGAGGGTGGCAAGAAGAGCCAAGACAGGAAGTGAGAAGTCTTGCTGTCAGAAGGTGCTGACAAAGCCACAGAGAAATTGCAAGGGCACCAGAAGGCTTTTCAGAGGAGGTCGAGGCACAGGCAAGGGGGAGTCGGCAGGAGGAGAGGGAGTGAGTGTTTTGAGAGGTCAGCAGCTGGAGTCCCAAACCTTGCAATGGATTGAGCTGGAAGCCCCTTAAGGCTGCAGTTACAGCTACACAGAAACACCCCTCTGCATCAGGCCCATAGGCTAGACGCCACACCGCCCCCATTCCCATATCCACACCACCCCCGAAATCCATAGATGGGTCCACTGTGGCAGGTCAGCCGTGGAAGCCTCCCAGGCAGACAATGGCCTTGTTACCTCCTCGCCGGCTTCTCTCAGCCTCTGTTATTAACATTCAGGCAGCTCTTCACGCCATTCATCGAAGGCCACAGAGGAGCTGAGATCTGATCTAGCCTGGCTGAGCTGCATTAAAATCAATTAAAAATGAGAGATAAGCCTCTTCTTTCCAATGGAAAAATCCACAGGAGCAAGAGAAAGACACACACAGCCCCATCAATCATTCCAGGCTCTGCTTTCCTTGGGCTTTTCTTCCCCACTAAACAGCTGCAAGATGAGCCGGCTGAGCAGAAAGGTCTTCTTGCCATGGGGCTGTGGCTGGCAGCTCCCAGACTGGGCCTCAGCTGCCAACAGGATGTGCCTGCTATCCCGTTGCCAGCCTGACTGCCTGGCAGTCTGACCGCAGCTGGGATGAGCAGAGAGCAACCAGGGAGAAGTCCAGAAGCCTATCCCTTGAGCCATCTCATGAGGCCTGATGCCACCTCCCCTTTCTCTTCCGGGCCCAGAATTTAGGCCTCCGGGAAACCTTGTATTCCAGGCTTATCTTAGCTGTCTCTGAAGATCTGAGCAGAATTACACTTCTCTTATTCCTCTTTGGAGAATTTTTACTGCTGTGATGATTCCTGTGAAACTGCGTTTCCTGATTTTTTTTCTAAGGAAGAATGGGGGTGTGTGTGTGTGTGTGTTTTATGCACTGGGACCTGCACCCACACAGGGCCTAGCACTAAGTAAACATTCGTCAAATGAATAAGAAAAAACAAGACCAACATGCATCTGCCATCCAACAGCCGTAACCAATCAAACAGACAGCATTCGATGCCGGTTTAGGTATTTTCTTTCTTTTCTTTTTCTTTCTTTTTTTTTTTTTTTTTTTTTTTTTTTGAGGCAGAGTCTCGCTCTGTTGCCCAGGCTGGAGTGCAGTGGCGTGATCTCAGCTCACTGCAAGCTGTGCCTCCCGGGTTCATGCCATTCTCCTGCCTCAGCCTCCTGAGTAGCTGGGACTACAGGTGTCCGCCACCACGCCCAGCTAATTCTTTGTGTTTTTAGTAGAGACGGGGTTTCACCGTGTTAGCCAGGATGGTCTCGATCTCCTGACCTCATGATCTGTCCACCTCGGCCTCCCAGTTTAGGTATTTTCAATTGCAACCTGAAGTAATCCATTTAACAGTTTATTTATTTAACTGGTGGCCACATCTTTGATTGTCCTCTTGACACACTGAGAAATTAAAAAAAAAAATAGAGATAAGGGTCTCCCTCTGCTGACCGGGCTGGTCTCGAACTTCTGGCCTAAGGCAATCCTCTTGCCTCAGCCTCCCAAAATACTGAGATTACAGACCTGAGCCACCATGCTTGGCCAAAAGTGTTCATTCATATAGATGCACCCAGCCCCAGCACAGTGTCAGGCCCAGGATGGCAGGCTTCCTGGAAGAGGTGGGCTTGACCTCAGCCTGTAAAGCTGAGTGGATTTGGCTGGGCAAGACTACAGGGGAGAGATTAAAATATTAAAATTGTCAGGGAAAGGAGTCTAGACTTGCTCTGTGTGAGCCACTCCTGTTTATACTACAGATGGCCTACCCTCACCCAAATGACTATTTTATACCCTCCCCTGAGTCAAGATGACCCTAGAGAGTAGGCTTAATGGACAATGAGAAAGAGTATCTTGATCCAGAGCCACTGGGATTTTCTTGGGTGTTCCAACATGCAGGCACTGATTGGATCGGATTTGAAATACAATTCTTCCTGGTAATTTATGGAAGGATATTGACTCAAATGCATAATTGTTTCAAGTAATCAGAGCACTTTGCAATTCATTCAGTTAAGAGCTTAACCTGTCATGTGAGTTGTTAAATCACGATTGCAAAGACTGAGGCTTCAGTAATGCTCCCGCTGGACCAAGGATATCATGGACATAACCAAATACCACTGGGGGAAGGGTGTTCTCTGCTTCTCATGGTGCGGGTGTGTGCAGAGGCAGCCAGTTGGAAAGAGATTGTCAGTTGAAAGAGTTCAAGCCTTGATTATTTACTATTGTGTAATTCAGAGAAAACTATTAATTAGCTGAGGTGCTTAGACCTCTAGTCAGTGCCGGCTGTTTCCAATGCATGGCTGGTGATAAATAAGGGACTTACTCACCGGCTCTGAAATCAGGGGTTCGTAAAGCAACTCACTTTGTGCCTGTGTTCATTGATTCATACACAGCACTTGTTCATTGATTCATTCAACAATATTTATGGAGTGCTTTCTTTCAAGGCCTTTGGAAGGGGTGGATTTCTAAAATATTTAACAACTAGAATGGCCTGGGGAAGAAGCAATTAGAATAAGAAGGTGACGGATCAGAACAGACACTACCTGTAAACGACCAACACACTCTGATTTGCACAGGTGTGATCTCAACCCTGGGGCTGATGATGCAGTAGTGAGCATGAACGACAGCTTACCTTCTGGTGGCCTTGTTGGGAGAGGTCAGTGGGGGCTTCCCAGAAGGGATGCTTCTATGATGAATCCTGCAGGAGCAGAGGGACAAGAAAGGAAGCAGGCACCACTGGGATTCGGGGTGGGCATCACACATACAAAGTATCATAAGCAAGAGAGCCTGCTGGGACTTCGGGAGCCTTCCAGTAGCTGGACGAGGCTGGAAGGAGGTGATGAGGCTGGGAGGGACCAGCTCACGAAGGACCTGGCATGACTTAATGATGATTTGAGACGTAATACCTCAAGCTGATTTGGAGAAGCTAGAGGATTTCTAATCAGGAAACAATTATATCAAACTATCTTTCCAGTGTTTTTGTAACCACAAAGCCCAGATCCAAGCATGCCGTCCATCGTTAAGATGCTTTGGTGGCTCCCTTTGCACTTAGGCTGAATAGCAATAGATTCCTTCTGCATTTCCACCCCACCTGCATGCCTCTCCCTCCCTGCACTTCAGCTCTTCCTTGCTTATGTCCTGCACCTGGGTTGGCTCCTCTTATGTCTACTTCTTTCTACATAGACACAGTAACAGTCTGATCTCTCTTTCTTTTCCCCACACATGAATAATACCTGGTTCTGAACACCGCATCCCTCTACTGGGCCCCTGTGACGGTCCCCTTTACCCTCACATCGCCAAATCATGCTCCACAGAAACTAAGGAAGCTTTGAAAGCCCAGATCCAAGCATGCTGTCCATCGTTAAGGTGCTTTGGTGGCTCCCATTGCACTTAGGCTGAATAGCAATGGATTCCTTCTGCATTTCCACCCCACCTGCATGCCTCTCCCTCCCTGCACTTCAGCTCCTCCTTGCTTACCTCCTGTGCCTGGGTTGGCTCCTCCCAACCCAGGGCCTTGGCTCAAGCTGCTCCCCAACCTGAATACTCTTTCCCACCTTCTTCTACTTCCACCTCAGATTGGCATTACTCTTTCTGGGAATTCTTTTGTAACCTCTCTGACTAGGTCAGTTCCTCCCAATAGAACCATTTATAGCAATTTTCATAGTTGCAATTGTATAGCTATTGGTGTGATTTTTAAAATCCGTAACTAATTTTCCAGCAGACTGATACTCACTGAATTCCTGTGCATTAGCTACGTATTGTTTTGTAACAAATTACCCCAAAACATGGCAGCTTAAAACAACAAACATTTATTATCTCACAGCTTCTGCTGGTCAGGAGTTTGAGGGCAGCTTTGCTGAGTGATTCTGAGTCAGGATCACTCATGAGGCTGCAGTCAAGATGTTGGCCAGGGCTACAGTCATCTGAAGGCTTGACTGGGGCTGGAAGATCCACTTCCAAGATGGTCACATGGGCTTCTCCATAGGGCTGCTCACAACATGGCCACTGGCTTCCCCTGAAAACCAGAACTCACAATGTCTCTAATGACCTCACTTCAGACATACTACTTCATCATTCCAGAATATTCTCTTGATTACAAAGGTCAACCTAATTCGATGTGGAAAGGGGCTATGTAAGTGCATGAATACAATGAGAAAGGGATCATCCATGGCCATCTCAAAGGCTGCAAATCCCATCTGTCCTTGTTCACTGCTGTATCTTCAGTGCCTCACTCAGGGCCCACCACACTGTAAACATTCAAATAACAATTTTGATAAATGAAAATGGTTTGATTAGATTATTCAATTCAAACAGTGAGGATGGGCACAGTGAGCCTCCCCACCCCTTTTACCATTTCCAGCAAAGTCTCAGCAATAACTAAGTCCCATCTTTTGCCTTGCCTCTCATGGCCCCAAAGACTGAGTATCAGAGTCCTACTCAGAGGATGAAGGGAACACCGTCAGGCCACAGCCCTGGCTGCAGTCAGCTCTGGCCCCACGTGCAACCTTGTCACTGAGTGTGCATTTCCTGAGGATGCTCCCTGGGCAGCTGTTCATGCCTCAGACGTTTGGATCAGAGGAACACCAACTGAGGGAACTGGAAAGCGGTGGCTTCACTTTATTTGCTTGTTCCACGTCAGCTGACTTCCAATGAGGGTGTGTTGAGCTGCACAGACAGCTCTGTCAGGGGCCTGTTTTTGGTGGCCCTGCCGGATTACAAGGCTCCATCACTGAGGAGTGAGGGAAGCAGCTGACACTCCAGCCTACACTCCGGATGTCTCTCTGTTTGTGTCTGCCACTGAAAACTGGCTCTTCAATAATGCATGGAGCTATTAGCACCAAGCTGAGGATGACTTGCTCCCTCCCAGCGATCAAAGCTGCCGCTGGGAGCCCAGTCGATGATCAGATTTCATGGGTTCCTTGTAACTGTTGCCCCTTCATATGAGATTAGAATGGACTGTTTCATGTCCAAGGATGAAAGCAGCAAGGATTTGGGAGAAAATCCGGCTTCCCTGATAAATCAAAATGCTTCCATTTCATTACAAATGAATGCATGACACAGCTAATAGCTCCTGTGAGAGGGAATGCTGCGGGACCAGCTGTCTCCACCAGCTTCTCTCAGAGGCTGGGTAAAATGTATAAGATGCTGGACCAGGGAAGCCCCTTGATTTCCTTATGTCTAGGGAAGCCCCTTGATTTCCTTATGTCTAGGGCATCTTCCAGACCATAGAGGCCTGCCACAAATCCCTGGGAAATTCACCTTTATTCTGCAGCATTAGCAAAGTTTGGAGCAATCCCCTCAGAGGCGACTGGGGGGCTTGGAGCCAGGACTGCTGGGGAGGAGGCGGCTGCGGCCGGCAGCTGACATAACATTAATAGCTCCTCACCACTGTGCATGCTCACATGTCCAGTACTTTGCATACAGTAAGTACCTCTAATCCTTGCAGCAACTGCAGTGTATTATTAGATCTTGCTACAGTGAAGAAACTGAAGATCAGAGAGCTGAAGTGATCTTGTCAGGGCCACTCAGCTAAGGAGTGCTGGAGCCCAGAGTGAAAGCCCTGGGCTGTGCTCATGCCTCTGTACCAGCTGCTCCCTCAAGTCCCTCCAGAAGCAAAGACAAATCTAGAAGCAAAAGGGAGAGTCCCTGGAGGAGCCGGCCATTTCAGTGACAGGAGAGGGGTGGGGCGTGTAGTCGACACCACTACGAGAACCCCCTGGTCTGACTTCGGAGGCTTCCCACAGTCAGGCCCAGCCAGCGTCGCAGCCGCCTTTAGTGTCTTCTCCAGGGAGCTCTCTCCTTTCTCGGCTGAGATGCTGATTTCTTCTGGCTGCTGGCTCTGAGCCCCGGGGTGGATCATCTATCCTCTCTGGCCTTGCTTCCATCATCTATGAATTGGAGGTAATGACGCTGCCTTAGTGGCAAGACAGCCCAGGAGCTGCTCGGGCCGCGTAGCACAATGGGATTCTCCTGGCTCATATATCCCAGCGAGTGCCCACCTCAGCCCACCTGCCATGCCCTTCCTTCCTCTGCAGTAGCTTCCCCGCTTCATCTGTGCCCCCACAGTCTGGGACACTCGGGTCCAAACTCCTCCTCCTTTTGAAAGACCTTCTCTCTGTGGGCTTCCCACCAGCCTGCAGCCTGGATGGGCGGGATCTCCTCGTCTCTAGTGTTGTGAGATGAGGTCACATATCACCAGCTTGGCCAGGAGCCACGAGGAGCAGGGTATGGGTCTCTCCACTTCCACCTCCCATCTGTGCCCCCAGATCCCCTATATCTTCCTGGGCATCCAGCCTGAGGCAGGCTGCAGCAGGGCTGATGGTGATTTTGTAGACCTGGCTTCTGAGGGTTGGGTGGTCTCCGAGTCAAAGTACAATCCCCCCATCCATCTCCCTGCCCCAGTGGACGGAAGGACACCTCCTGCAGAACAAGCACAGGCCAAGGAGTCAGAGGCAGGTGCCAGTGGCACCCTCAGAGAAAGGTCCTCCCTGTCCACCTCCCCTGTCCAGGTTTGGACACATCCATGTCCCTGGCGTGTCCCTGATAGACCCAGAAGTACAGATGCCATAGGGAGGCTGACCCTCCCAACTGACCCTCTGACCAGATCAGAGCCCTTGAGGGTGGACTATGTCTGGCTCATGCCCACGTGCCTAGGGCCAGCATCGTATCTGTACAGGGAGATGCCCCACGTGTGGGGAGTGTTAGACCCAGTCAGGGGTGGGGGGACCGGGACTGAGGCCTGGCGACATGGTGGGTGGGTTTCTCAGGCAAACTCGGAGACAGGAAAAGCTGGGTTGGCAAGGTGGAAGGGGCTCAGTGATCAGGCTCTGACCAGGGCACTTATAAATACGTGTTTGCAAATCACTGATCTTCGATCCCCCCACCTCAAATTCAGAGACAGCTTGATGTATGCTGTGTGGAGGAGCCATGGCCTAGAGACAGTGCCATCACTAACGCCCGGGGACTTCACATGCACGGCCTCTCCCTGGGACTCGGTTTCCTCACTCGCGCTGGGAGCTGGAGTAGAGGTTCTCTGCAGCTCCCCATCAGCTCCCACGGAATGGCTGTTGTGAAATTCCCTGCACTGTGCCCAAACCTCTAACCACAGGCAGTTGAGGCCCCAGGCCTCAGTGTGCTGTCAGCCTGACGAAAGGTGGCTTTATCCTGCCAGAATTCCCTCCCTCAGTTCTTGCCACCACTCCCAGCTCCTTGTCCACCTGCTGGGCAGTCCTATACCGGGGCCTGTCAGGACGAAGAGCTGCCCGGGCCAGCGGCTCTGCCGAGATCAGGAAGGAATTACTGCAACAACCCATCTGTTTGTGCCTCTGCTTTGGAAGCTACTTGTGCATTGAAGTAAAAGCTTTGGCTCTGTTGTCAGGGACAGTGAAGGGCATCTGTGTCCTTCGATGCTGCGCATATAGGAGCTGGCACCCTGGGACTCTTCAGTGTCCCCTTTGGACAGGGCAGAAGGCCTGATTGAGCAAGTGGCTCTTAGGAGAAAAGTCTAAACAGACATTGAATGAATGTGAATTGTTCCTCTTGAGGCACATATGGGCTCCAGTTTGCCTTCAGCCAGGACACAGAAAGGAATCTTTGCCAGGAAGTGGACTGGAGCAGGGATTAGGAGGGCCGAGCCTACTTTGGTGAGCTCCGTGAGCCTGGGCATGGCCTCCACCTTTCCACACCCGGAAAGGTTTGCACATGCTGCTCTCTGGGATTTGGGTCGATGGCTGCATCCGCTGACAGACACTAACAGTTCTAGTCACCCGCCATGGGGAAGAGGCACGATGGCCATCTCTTCCCAGGAGAGCGTTTCAGACGCTGTGCGGAGTGTGTTTGATGTCTCATGATCCCCTTAGACCGGTGAGATTGGGCTACCTGCATCTGCCTGCCAGGTGATCACTAGCTTCAGCAAGCATTACTTCAGCACTGCCTGTGGGTTCCACGGCAGGTGGGGCATCTTCACACAGTGTTTCATGATATCCTCACAGTCCTCATTATCTCCCAATGACCCAGGTCCTGCTGGACACAGTCCAGGGCTCCCTGCTCCCCCTCTACAGCTGCTGCATCGGCCAGGGACTTCACTCAGCCTGCTCCTCTTTCAGTGTTCAAGATAGAAATGCCAGGTGTGGCAATCTTGTCAGTTCTTCAAGTGTCAGCCAAATGCCCCTTCCTCCAGGAAGCCTGCCAAACTTCTCTCTCCCTGTCATGCATGCCTGTGCTTGCATCCTGGCCATGCCCTTGTCACCTTTGTTGCTGTGGAGTTATTGGTACACCTGACTTTGCCCCCGGAGCTCCCCGGGGCATCAACGCTGAGTCTTTCATTCCCTGGTGACACTCCCTTCCCCTCGGGTACTTGCTAAGTGAATAGGTGAGTGGGGTTGTGGTCTGGCTGGCACCTTCCTCGACACCCAAGACAAGGCATGAAGGGTTAGAGACTTCAAAGTGATCCTTTTAGCCTGCAAGGAGACCACAGCAGGGGATACACTAGATGAAATTACTTAAAACATGAGGAGAGCACAGGGCACAGGAGTGCTTCTCAAGAAAGGGGTTCTGGGGCAGGAGCAGAAGCCGGTGGCAGGGACGAGGGCCATGGGCCGCTGAAATGCTCCCTGCCAGCCCCAGTGCCCGCAGACGGCCCCTGCAGCCTGGGGGAAGCCCTGCCTGCCTCCTCACGCCGCCCGCAAACTGCTCGTGGCCGAGAGACCTCAAGGTTTCTCCAGCGGACACCCTTTGTGTCTTGCGAGAGCCCTGTTTCTAAGGGAGAGGCAGCCGACAGCTTGCTGGGAGATTTCTAGAAGAAAGCTGGTGGGGGTGGCTACTGCTTTCTAGATTACTCAGTGTTTTACTGGAAGCACACTGGTAGTTTTGCACAGTCACAGCCAGCACAGCCTGTAGTCACAGAATGTTCTGGGCTCACCCTTTTCTCTGGCGTGGGGAAGTGAGGCTCAGCGTAGAGGCTGTACCCAGAGGCACATGACAGTCTGGGCCCAGGCCAGGGCTCAATGAGGAGCCAGAGTGTCCCGGCCTGCCTGGACTCCAGCCGGGACCTCCCACGCGAGACTCATTCATCTACGCCCAGGATTCTCAAAGAACCCTGGCCCCAGCCTGCTCCCTGTTACGTGCTAAGCCCCAAGCTTACCCATGCCTCCTGCCATGGGGACCAGAGAATGTGAAGACCACCAGGGAGACCCGCCCTGGAGACCATGGTGTGCTGCTGACTCAGGGTGAGGCGGTTCCCTGAGGAGGGAGCGAGCCCCAGCCACCCACAGTAGTGTCTTCCAAGGAAGTGGAGGTGTAGGGAGACCAAGGCAAGCCCTGAAGAGTACCAGGTGTGGAGAAGGACAGAGAGGAGGGTCCACATCCGGGCCTCTTCTGGGATGCGTGTGGTCTCTCCAGGGACAAAGCTGTGAGTGAGGAACCATGTGATGGAGTGTGGGAGAAGGGGTCGGGGGCTCTAAGGAGGCTCAGCGGGTACCCCGGGGCTGCTGTCTTCCCAGCATGACTCACCGGGGCTTCTCCTCCTCCACCCAGCCCTGCCCCTCCATCTGCAGATCTTTGATCTCACAAACATACTCGGTGCCCTTCCAGAGAATGACATCACCAAGTGTGCCCTCTGTCCTGTCACTTGGAGCTCCTGGAAGCTCAGAATGTCCCTCAGTCTGGACACTGCCCCTGGCCTGGGGAGCTAGATGTGCCCCCCCTCCCCTTCTGCCCTAGTGCAGAGGAAAGAAGACCAAATCTGGAGTCAGCAGACATAGGAGTCTAATCCCTGGTTCTGACACATCTAGGCAGTCATTGCCTTAGCCACACTCAGCCTTAATCTCCTGATCTGCAAAATGGGGAGAACCACACTAACCTTGCAGTTTGTGGTGACTCAAGGAAACCCACGTGAGAAATGTCTGGCACTGTGCCTGGCATGTAGTAGGTGCTCACTAAATACTCATTTACAGTTTTTTTCCCCTCCCTGTCCTAACCTTTTTTTCTCCAGTAAGTGACTGGGGACAGAAGTCCACTCTAAGAACCTCTGCCTGCCCTCAGATCTCCATGGCAAGTGAGGGCTACATGACCCCTTTGTGCTGCGAAGGCGCATCTCAGGACACTGACCTGCATGTGCCCAGGCTCATGGTGTCGGCAGAGAAACTGTGGGTGAGACCTTTGTGAAAATGGACACCCAGGTGACCGGGAAGGGGAGGGGCCCCGGGAGGAGGGAGAACCAAAGGTCCTCACTGTTTGTTATTCCACCTGTTTGTTTTCCCCTAATCCCCAGCCCACAGGGAGCTGCCACACTTACCCTGACTTCCCCAGCGGGCCCAGCTCAGGAGCAGAGGCCGAGCAACACAGGCTGATCAGGCCACCATCACGGTTGGCCTCTGTGCCCAGGGGGTCCCTGCAGCCACCATCAGGAAAGCTCCCACCCTGGGGACACAGTCCCTCCTGCCTCCTGTTCTTCCTGGGGTCAGAGACTTGCTCCTGATCAAGGGTAAGCAGGTGCATGGGCTGGTGCCACTAGCTCGGTGCAGTGGCTCCCCTCTGCTCCCATGAAGGGCCTGAGAGGTATTTCAGGGCTCTGAGCATGGACTCAGCCAAACACTTGGGCAGGAGGGTTGGTATCTTGTTGCCTTCAGGGCTTGGAGTGAGAGAAAGAGGACCTGACAGACCCGTGGGAGACGAGCATGAAGACAAAGCAATGACCCCAGATAGGCCAGTCGCAAATGCCGGGAGAGGTCCGCGGACCCTGGAGTTTCACCTGGACCTTGAGAGACAGAATTTGAATATTGCGGAGATTAATGAAACAAAACACCACAGGAGCAAAGGCCTGAGTGAGGCTGGCCCTCTGGGGCTGCTGTATCTGGCCAGCTGGTGGGCATGGAGGGCCCACCCCACGGGGGAAGCCAGGCAAAGAAAGAAGGCTGGAGGCGGCCGGAAAAGAAGCAGGTGTCAGGCGACGTTTGAATTGATTTTCAGCACTAGGGAGCCAGCTCCGATCAGGGAGTGGCGTGAGCAGAACTGCCTTCTGGAGAAGGCCTTGAAACCACCTTTTCAAAAATGGTAACAGTGAGAAAATTATGACAGTGAAAGAGATCTCAGCTAACCTACCCCCAATCTTCCCTTTCCCTTCGTTATTCCTGGGCTATTGGGCCAAGCGAACTTTGGAAGACATGTAGGCTGTAGTTTAAATGATAACAGGCCTTGTCCCCAAAACTCAGCCACTTTTGTAAAGCTATTGAGAGGCCATCAGGCTTGGGGGAGGAGAGGACCCTGACTTCTGCAAGGGGCAGGACTGTCAGCCGTGTTGCTGGAGGTCAGAAGACATGCGACTTCCCTAATTACTCCTGCAAATAACGCCAGTGTTGTGAACCTAAGGTTGACCTTCTGAGGTACCTTTTCAGGCTTTGTGCATGTCTGACACCCATGGCTCCACCCCACGTGGACCCGCCAACCTTGCCCCTGTGGCCCCACGTAGAAGTGATTCAGCACCCAGGAGGACAGCTTCGACCCCCTAAGATTTCATCTCCGCCCAACCAATCAACAGCAAGTACCTGTTACCTGGCCACCCCCAACCCTTCCCCCAAACTGCCTTTGAAAAACCCCTAACCTGCAAGCTTTGAAGATGATTTCAGTACTAACTCTGTCTCCCACATGGTGAGGTGGGCCTCGGGTCTGTTAAATTCTTTCTTTACTGCAATTCCACGACCTTCATTCATGCAGTGGGCAAGAAGAACTCCTCCAGTGATTACAGCCTGGGGTGCAGGGTCCGGATGGACGGAGCAGCACCTGGAGAGGACCATTAACCCTCTGTCATCCATGTGTGGCTAGATGAGCAATGCAGCCAGACCCACGGCCGTATCTGCCTGCAGGACCCACCTAAGTCCTCAGCCACAGACACAGGTTTTTAAGCCAACCCAGAGGGGATGCAGAGCCTTCCCTTTGGAGAGCCAAGATTCTGCTGAACCTAGGAAGGTACTGAAACACCAGCAGAGAGCTCACGGAGCAGCCATGGCCAGGGCTCAGGCACTGCCTGCGGCCCACCCTGGAGCTCCCATGCCCACCTGTCTCATCTTTCCAGAACTGGCCCGCCTCTGCAGAGTTGGCAGCAGCTCCTCCTGCCAGCTGAGAGCCAGCTCCAGGCCTCCTTGGATTTTCCCAGGCAGAGCCCAAGGCCCAGGTGCCAAGTCCGAGTCCCAGTTCTTCTTGGCAGGCCCGGCCCCTGTTTGTCTTTGGGTTTTTTAACTTTTTATTTTGGAATCATTACAGACAAGTTCCAACGATAGTACAGAGAGTTCGTTCCCATGTACCCTCACCCAGCTTCCACTAATGTTAACGTCTTACATAACCATGGTACACTTGTAAAAGCAAAGAAATTAACATTGGAACGATACTATTAATTGAACTACAGCTTTTATTTGGATTTTACCAGTGTTTTCTTAAGGGACATTACATTGTCATTTTTCTTGTCTAGGCCCAATCCCGGTTGCCACATTGTATTTAGTTGTCACTTCCTTTGGTCTCCTTTCACCTGGGACAGCTTCTCAGGGTTTCATTGCTTCTTATGACCTTGACAATTTTTTAAAAAAATTATGATAAAATAGATATATAACATGAAAGTTGCTATTTTAACCATCTTTAAGTGTATAATTAAGTGGCAGTAATTGCATTCACAATGTTGTGAAACCATCATCACTATTTCCAAAAGAGAAACTCTGCCCATTAACCAGTAACTCTCTACTCTCCTTCTCCCAGGTACCTCTTTTTTTTTTTTTTTTTTTTTTTTTGAGACAGAGTCTTGCTCTGTTGCCCAGGCTGCAACGATCTTGCGACCTTGGCTCACTGCAACCTCTACTTCCCGGGTTCAAGCAATTCTCCTCCCTCAGCCTCCTGAGTAGCTGGGATTACAGGTGCCTGCCAACATGCCCAGCTAGTTTGTTATATTTTTAGTAGAGACAGGGTTTTGCCATGTTGGCCAGACTGGTCTCAAACTCCTGACCTCAGGTGATCCACCCACCTTGGCCTCCCAAAATGCTGGGATTATAGGTGTGAGCCACCGTGCCCGGCCCCAGGTACCTCTTAAGAGGCTTAGAGGAGCCCCCACCCCAGCCTCATGCCCAAGAAAGAGGTCTTGTTGTTTCTGGCCAGAATCAGTCCTTCTAGACCCCAGAGCTACACAAAGAAGCCTGCAGGAGTCGCTCCCTTCCTTGTGGTGTCCATGGAGGGCACCAATACTTGATCCTTAGCAAAATGCATACTCACTAAGGGTAGAGAGAAGTAGGAAGCCCGCATCCTGCCCCCTTCTCCTGTGTTGGCTTTTGTTTGTTGGTTGGTTTGTCTTCTGAGACAGGCTCTTGCTCCGTCAGGGCTGGAATGCAGTAGAGCAATCACGGTTCACTGTAGCCTCCACCACCCCCTCACCCGGGCTCAAGTGATCCTTGGGCCTCAGCCTCCCGAGTAGCTTATGCACAACCACACCCAGCTAAGTTTTAATTTTTCTTATAGAGACTTGGTGTCCCTGTGTTGCCCAGGCTGGTCCTGTATTGGCTTTTTAACAAAGGTAGACATAGCTTCTGACAGCTCCCTGGCTAAAGTCTGAACACCCAGCACTAGCATTTCTCTTTGTGGGGTCAGTGTGGGGCTCTCAGAGGAGTCTACCCAGGCAGAAAACCCTAGACAGAGGTGCCCACTGCCCACCGGCCCCAGCTCTTATCACCGTCATGGTAGTCATGCAGACGAGAGTATCGCTCTGCATAACTGCAGTCCCACATTGGGGATGCCATCCTCAACAGGCTGTCTCCAAGGGCACACTGGACACAGAATGACCTCAAAGCCAGGGGTATGAGCCCACAGCCCATGCCATGCGGGCCTCTGCCATCTTGTAACAGGCATGGGACAGCAATGTGCCTGGCTTGCTGCCCCCAGGGCCACAGCCTTCTGGCCAACAGCAGCAGGCTCAGCCCTGCCACAGATCCGGGCACTCAGGATCCGGGCGCCCATTGCCAGACTCCTGTCATCGGTCTCCAGCCACCTGTCCAGACACTCGTGCACCCCGATGGGACGTCCGTACTTGCTGCTTCCTCCCCTTTCCCTTACAAAATATCCTTCTATAACTCTTCATGGCAGCAAACCTTTTACCAGTCTATGCAGAGCCTGTTTTTCTCTGAATCCAGTTTAGCTTTCCCAGTAACCAGGATGGTTGGTCATCCTATTTCCCAGCCTCTGCACCTACCGATCCCCACCAGGAAAGCCCAGATTATTCACACCTCCACGTAGCCATCCCTCCTGACCTCCAGCCTTCATAAATGCTGTTCCCTCCACCTGAATGTCCTTCCTCATCTTTGACTATCAAAAGCCAATGCAGTGTTCAAGTCCAGCTTCTCTGTGAGGGCTTCCCGGTCCCCGCCTTGGAGTCAGAGCTCCCTCCTCCCTCCCCCTGGGCTCACTTTGAAGCTCCAAAGGGAAGGGCCTCAGGGCTGGAGCAAGGCATGGATCCCCCTGAGTGTGCAAAGTGTCAGAATCAGTAACTGGCACAGCTCCAGCTGCCTCCCTCTCCTCACCCAATAGTGAAGAGCACGAGGGCAGACACAGCTGGTTTTACCCTGTTACACATCAGATGCTCATTAATGCTGTATTCCCAACCTCCTCCAGTGGTGTTTGCCGGCCCCTCGGGCCTCGTGTTGTCGCTCTGGCACCCTGGGGGCTCAGGTGGAGCCACGGCCAGGACAGGTCTCACCATTGACAAGAGCACTCAAGCTCCCAGATGGACTCCCGCCCTGTCCAAGCACTACAGCCTGGACTGGGGCCGACCTGCGTCCAATGACCCACAGTCCATCCCCGCCTTACCTTATCCATAGGAGCCATTTGACAAGCTCTTGTTGAACAAATGCTACAAATGAGCGCATGGGCTGTGTCCTGAAGGTGATTAATGGTTTACTAGAGGTGTGGGAGAGTGGATGTATGCAATGGGAGACTGGGCTAGGTGGTTGCGGGCAAGAAAGGTGCCCTCTAGCACCCTGGATACAAGAGCAGACTGCAGACAATTGGTGGAAATGGTAGCAGGAGGAGAAGTCCCCCGGGTGAATCTTTGGGGCCCTGCTCAAGTGGGGAGGCCCACAGGCTCTCAGGAGGGAGCGCTCTCAGCCCCAGAGGGCTGCTGGTAGCAAGGGTTAAGAACCACTCCTTGGCTGGGCGCGGTGGCTCACGCCTGTAATCCTAGCCCTTGGGGAGGCCGAGGCAGGCGGACTACCTGAGCTCAGGAGTTCGCGACCAGCCTGGGCAACACGGTGAAACCCAGTCTCTACTAAACTACAAAAAAATTAGCTGGGCATGGCGGCATGTGCCTGTAGCCTCAGCTACTTGAGAGGCTAAGGCAGGAGAATTGCTTGAACTCAGGAGGCAGAGGTTGCAGTGAGCCGAGATCGTGCCACTGCACTCCAGCGTGGGCGACAGAGAAAGACTCCGTCTCAAATAAAAAAGAAAAAAAAAAAGAAAGAAAGAAAGAACCACTCCTCAAGCAGCCAGCTTGGGACAGGTAGCGGGAGTGGCCAGCCAGAGGCCAGGAATGGGTCCCGCACATTCCTAAGTCAGCAATTTGGCTTTAGGGGAGAAGGCATGTGCAGTGCAGAGGAAGGGTGGAAGAAACAGATGCATGAGGGAAACTCCCATCCCAAGCCAGAAGGGGCAGCTGCAGCCCACATCCCAGCAGGACAGGGAGGGGTAGACAAGGCTGGGTCGGGCTGGCGCTGCAGAGAGCCAGTGGCGTTGAGGTGGCCCCACCCTAGGGCAGGAAGACAATACCAGGCAGGGCAGGGCAGTGGTGGGTGACCCCGGCTGAGGTCCAGATACCCCTGCTTCCTTTTGGGAGACAGCTTTCACAGCACACCTCGGCATCTGGTGGGGCAAACAATGGAGGCTTCTGGCAGCCGCAGAGAGCAGAGCGTGGTGAGAGGCATGGACAGCTCCCCACCAACCCCGTGAAGCTGAATTGGACGGAATACAGGGCTGGGGTGAGGTGAGGACCCCCTGAGAGTGCAAAATGTCAGAGCCAGTAACTGCCACTGATGGCGATGGAGGTAGAGCTGGGGGCAGGGGAGTGGGGACTGATGGCAGCAGCCATTGATTCTACAGCAGTCCCTGAACTGTGCACTTCACTTGCATTCATTCAACAAACATTTACCGGAGGCCAACTGGGCACCAGGGATAGAACAATGAACCGCGTAAATGTGACCCCTCTGTCTTCTCAGTTTTTCTCCCCTACCCTGGCACATGAGGCCAGCATTATTATCCTTACCTTAAAAATCAAGGAATTGAAGCTCAGAGAGATGGAGGTGGTGGGGACACTCAGCTGTGTGGCAGAGAGGTTTCCACCCCTGCCAGACTGTCCTGGGTGTGCCTCCACCTCCCATACCACAGGGCCTGTCAATTCCTCCCAGCTGCCAAGGATCCAGGGACCCTCCTCTGAAATTCTGAAACTGTCAAGGCCAGAAGGTGGCTGTTCCCTTGCAGTTTCTGGGAGGATGTGAATTGCAGCAAGCCTGTGACACAGGGACCTCCCAACACGTATGCCACCCTCCTGGTATCTCCCCTAGACGCCCAGCACGGTTGCTTTTTGAGAAAGTTTTATTATGTGTGGAAGTTAAAGGAGCTGTATTATACTTTTTCCTGGGGCATTTGTTGAAGGAGGAAGATCCATTTTACAGATGAAGAAAGTGAAGCCAGGAGGACAGATTAGTTAGCTCAGCCTCACACAAGCAGACAAAGCTTGGGCCAGAGCCTGAGCCCCCTGCTCCCAGCCCAGGATTCTCTGCCAGACACCAGGCAACCAGCCAAGCGTGGCTGTGCCCTCTCTGCCCTTCTCCTGTTCCAGCCCCTCCAAGGCTCTGAAGGCCTGACCTACTTCAGATTCTATCCCCAGCGGCTCGCTCTCACCTCTCTCCACAAGGGTTAGCAATGCTGCCTTTCCAGGGTTCCCCTCCTGGTCTGGAGATGGGAGAGGGAGGCCTCGTTCCCTGCAAAGAAAGAACTGTCCAGGGTCCATGCCAAAGGCAGGCCGGTTCTGGGGCTCTGGCTCTTTTAGGCTCTCAGATCCCCCAGGTGGGTGCAGGAAGCTACTCCCCAGGTTGTGCCTCAGCAGAGCACACTCCTGAGGGTGCCTGTCCCACCTCAACAGCCCCAGAGAAAGGGTCACACCACCCCACCTTCCCTGTTCTCACAACTCGGAAATGATAGGGAAAAACCCTCCAGCTGGCATCCATTCTAAAAGCAGTTCTATTTTGTGCTCCTTTCCTGTTGAGAATAAATAGCAACATAACATTTGAACAGAAGGATGGGAGTGATTTCCACGTGGGCCCCTTACCCAGCGAGATAAGAAATAATTAATTGCTCAGATACCGTGAGGGGAGTGTCCCGGAGCCTCCTGCAGATGCCCTGACAGCGCCTGTACCTACTGTTGGCGCCATGTCCCAGGAATTGTGTCCTCCCTGTCGTCGTTGCCCGGTAGGTTCTTGGTGGGTAGAACACGATGCCTGTAGGGAGTGGGGAGGCCCCTGGTCCATCCCAAAGGTCTCCCCAGAACCCAGGGGCGTAACAATCTCCAGACAGCTCCAGGCAAGAACGTCTGGTCATCCTGGCAATAACTGCCTTGCTGGCACCTACACTCTGCCCACAACCAGAGGGAGTGTCCTAAAAACATACACTTCATCAAGCCCTCTCTCTGTGAAATGCCCTTAGGAACCCATTCAGGGCTGGGCATGGTGGCTCACACCTATAATCCCAGCACTTTGGGAGGCCGAAGCAGGCAGATCACTTGAGGTCAGGAGTTCGAGACCAACCTGGCCAACACAGAGAAACCCCGTCTTTACTAAAAATACAAAAATTAGCCAGGTGTAGTGGCACATGCCTGTGGTTCCCAGCTACTCAGGAGGCAGAGGCATGAGAATCGCTTGAACCCAGGAGGTGGAGGTTGCAGTGAGCCAACATCATGCCACTGCCCTCCAGCCTGGGTGACAGAGTGAGATTGTGTTTCCAACAAAGGAAAAAGATCATGTTCAGATGGAAAGGTCTGGCTGGAGAGGCACTTCATGAACCGGGCCCTGTTTAGCTTCCAGCCTCAATCCCAGCTCGGTTGCAGATGCCATTGTCTGTGCCCCAGTGCTGTTGTACAGGCTGCTCCCCTGCTAGGCTGACCTTATGTCCTATACTCATCTCCTTCCCAGAGCTGCCCCTGCACCTGGCCTGTTCTAGAGACCTCTGCTAGGAGCTCCAAGGGTACTCTGTCACTTTGCAGCCACAAGACCTCATAAATGTACTATTTCACACAGTGACACAGCAGCTTCTCACAGGTAGTCCATTCGTGACACCTGGAAGCTTCACTGATGTACTACAAGAGCCATGACTTACTGAGGCCCACAAGTTTGGGCTTCTCTAAGGGAAAGGACATATTTGATGCCACTGTAGGTCCCTAGCATAGCACCAGGAACAAAGTAGGTGCTCAGTAAATGTTGATTGAGGCCAGGTGTGGTGGCTCACACCTGTAAACGCAGCACTTTGGGAGACCAAGGTGGGCAGATCACTTGAGCTCAGGAGTTTGAGACCAGCCTGAGCAACATGGTGAAACCCTGTTTCTACAAAAATACAAAAAATAGCCAGACGTACTGGCATGCACCTATGATCCCAGTTACTTGGGAGGCTGAGGCAGGAGGATTGCTTGAGCCTGGAAGGCGGAGGCCGCAGTGAGCCAAGACTGTGCTACTGCACTCCAGTCTGGGAGATGGAGTGTTTATTGAAAAAATAAAAGAATGTATGAACAAAAGTCCATACACTTGAGACATCAATCTCTTTTTCTCATGTTACAGCTAAATTCAGGAGTGGGATGGGCTCCATTTCCTAAGAAGCACTAAAATATCACCAGAGTGTAAAGAGAGAGAGAGAAAAAAGTATATCCAACAGGCCCCTTTTTAAGGATGAAACTGCATATTTTGCAAGGAATATTTTAATGAACTACTTGGGGTGGATCAAGATGCAAAAGATGGCTATTCCCTTGGCTTCTAAGGAGACTGAGCCCATTTAATTGGAAGGCTTTTGCTTTGTTGAGTGGAGTTTGTAGGTTCAGGCTTGGAGTCAGGGTGCTCAAGATCACAGAGAAGACATGGGACTCTCTCTGCCCTTCCCCAACACCACCCTCAAACTGCCAGACCAAGACACCCCATGTCTTGCCATTGCCCCCAGCCAATTCCACCAGGTCTTCAAGGCCCAACTCCCAGGCCACCTCCTCCACGAAGCCTTCCCTGATGTCTGGATGGAAATGTCTAAGTCTCCATCCTTGCTCTCCCTTCTGGCTCTTATGACAGGCTGTTGATGCCTCGGGCCTTGCATTGCTAGAGGGCAAGGCTGTCTCCTTCACCCTTCTGCCCACAGAGAAATAGCACAGGGCCTGGCAGAGATACCAAAGGGAGTGGGATTTACTGAAGGAATTGCTGTCTGTTTGAATGAACCACACAGTATGAGAGGTAGGGGGCTGGCAGGAAGTGGACGTGCCCCCTGGGGGGACATGGTGGCTTGGTTCTGGGCCTGGCTTCAGTGAAGAGGACATGGGACAGAAGAGACCAGCATTTTTGTACTTCCTGCCTAAGGCTTATTAGATGTTACTTTTTAAAGAGATGTTCCATGGTTAAGTAAATATGGGAGATACTGGGTTAAGTCAGGCTAACTAGGTACCTTTAGAACGGAACTACTCAGTGTGTATGCGTTGTGGATCTCTATGAGTGGACCAGGCTATGCAATGTTTCTCAGACTTAGTTGACATGGAACCCCTGGTTCAAGCAATTCCTTGTTCCATGGAATACACTTTGGGAAATAGTGGAGAATACTGTCAAATCTAGGTGCATTTTAACAGTCTTCTTATTTTGCAGTGGGGGAGATAGGATCCAGAGGCGTGCTAGCAGAATCAGAGCAGAACCCAGGATACCTCCATCTCACCTTGACCTCAAAAGATTGCCCAGAGTGACAGAGTCCTTCAGAGTCTTCAGGCCAAAAGGATTAAGATAGCGATGTGACCTTAGAAGAGTCTCAGCTCCACCTGCCCAGCCCATGGTGTCCCTAGGCAAGACCGGGGTCACAATCTGAGTCCTAGACCCAGTTGGGTGCCCATTTGGAGGGCTGCAGGGGTTGGCATGGAGATTTCAGAAGTCTACTGCTCTTGGTTCATAGGATGGTGGCAGGAAATAAGACAATTCTCAGATCATTGCCTTGACCATCCTAGTAGAGCTGAAGAGGGGTGTGTGTGTGTAGGGGCTGTTGTGTGTCTTGGCCTTCCTGAAGTTCTCCTTCTCTCCAGGGCACTTGAGAGGCTGGACAGGGATAGACTGCTCTTCAGTAATAGGTTGGCATTTTTCTTTGCTGTGTTGTGACATCTCTTGGCTATAATATCTGGTGGCCCCTTATGTTACCTTCTATGAGAGAAGGGAGAGGGAAGACCTTACACCCACCCAGAAAACTCTCTGGGACCCATTCTAGAAAGCCTATTGAGGGCAGGATGTGAAGGTCTTCCGTGGGCAGCGTGGGCAGCCCAGACGCCCCACAGCAGAAGGCGGTTGAGCCAATCATGACGTTGATGCAATAGAATCCTAGGTAACCAGTGACAGGCTGCAACAGGGAAAAGGCGGTCCCCCACCAGGAAGCACAGCGAGATGGTTAAACATGCAGGCTCTGGCTAACCCTTGGCAGTGTGACCATGGGCAAATATTAAACCCCCTACTGCCTTAGTTTCCCCATGGAGACAAGCAGATCATAATGATGGTTCCTATGCTCAGGGTTGTTTAGCAGATTAAATCCATTCACTCCTCTGAACTGTGTCTGACATGTGGTAAGCGTCTTGCATGGCCGCCTCACGTACAGGCCCTGGAGCCTCAGGGCGGGCGAGGACCCCAGTCCTGCCACCGTCTAGCTGAGCGGCCTTGCAGAAGTTGCATGATCTTCCCCATATCTGTTTCCTTAGCTAGAAAATGGGATGATTAGGTGCCTGTAGAGTCATTGTTAGGCTTCGCTGAGTTAATTCTTATAAAGTGCTTGGACCCATGCCCACGACACTATAAGCAGTGTTGTAAGTTTATCAGTGACACAGGGAAATGAGGATACAAAATAATATGAAGTGAAAAAAAAAATCATCAACAGACAAAATAGCCCAGGCTCTGTTTCTCAGGCCACATGAGCTGATTCCAGAAGTCTCTGGAGTTGAGCCAAGGTGAGGCAGAGGGCAAGGCAGGCAGAGTCACCCTCGCAGGCCTTAGCTTCAGTCCTGGGGAAAGCCACACATACTGGCACTCTGCTTACCAAGGGTGGTTCACCACCCATCCCCTAAGCCACCACCTCCCCAGGCCCAGGGGCAGGCTCCCTGTTGTAAACCCCAGGGCTCTGAGCACTGATTCCAAAGCACCTTTACCCTGTTCCCCAGGGGTGCTATGGGCTGGAAACTTCTGCCTCAATGTCTGAGAGTTCCTGGGGAGTATCAGATGAGCCCCCAGTCCAGTGAATTCAAACCTTCAAAGTATGGACTTTAATAAAGGACCAAAAGTCAGGTTAAAGGGATGTAGTTAGAGTCCCCTATTTATTGGTTCTTTTTTCTTTTTTTTTCTGTAAAGTTTCAAATCTCCCCTTTGTGATCTCTTGTTTTCTCTGTCCCCAACTGGATGTGCAGTCTCGAAGGGATCCTACGCTTCTTGAATGAGGATTTGACATCTGGCAGAGGTCTTTATGAGCACATTTATGATCATCCTTCAAAGTAACCACATGAAATGGGTCACGGGCTTGTTCTCTTTTAGCAGACAGACGGGTTGAGTCACCACAAGATGCTGATATGGTTTAAATGTGTGGATATATATATACACACACACATACACATGTATATATCAATCAAGCTATACTTATCCCCAATAACAGAGAGGAAAAAGATATTCTTAGAATAAGAGTTGCATATTTTGGAAAACTTACCATGTGCCAGAGACTATTCTAATTATTTTATATAAACATGTCTCATGTGGTTTTCAAAACAACTATAGGAGATAACTATTATTATTACTTTTAACAAATGAAAGCAAACCTCAGGTTAAGTGACTGGCCCAAGGTCACACAGCAAGCAGTGACAGAGCTAAGTTATGCTGGCTCTAAAGACCATGTGTTATCAATTGTGTCCTCCTGCCTTCTTACGAAATGGAATCCATATCGAACCGCTAAGCCTTGTTTTTAGCAAATAACATGACTGTTTGGGCTGTGGGCTTAAGGAACAGTGGGTTCGGGGGCAAAGGTCATCCTCTAATACTGCTTTGTAATATTTCTCCCAGAGAAAGACTCTGGAGCCAGGCAGATCTGGATCCAGATTCCAATTCTGCCACTTCCTAGCTGTGTCCTCTCACCGGGCTCTCAGTGGCCTCCCCGGCCCGCATGCTCAGTGGAGTGTCTGGTTGGCCCCGCAGGCCTTGTCCAGATCTGCTGGGCGACACAGTGCCTGGCTGTGCCCTGCTCCCGTGCTTCCTCTGAGGAGAGCAGGTCATGGGTATCAGCTTACATGAGCCCTTTGGCTGCATGGATCAGGTGTAAAACAGACAGAGCTGAAGAATTTAAACTGAGATG